TTCATCCATCTGAGTGTTCAGGAGTTTCTGGCTGCTCTTCATGTCCATCTGACCTTCATCAATTCTGGACTCAATCTGCTGGAAGAACAACAAACAACCACAATATGGTCTAAACTGTTTGGAAAACTAGAATCACAAAAAGAAATAAAATTTTCAGCACATTTCTACCAGAGTGCTGTGGACAAGGCCTTACAGAGTCCAAATGGACACCTGGACTTGTTCCTCCGCTTCCTCCTAGGGCTTTCACTGCAGACCAATCAGACTCTTCTACAAGGTCTGCTGACACACACAAGAAGTAGCTTACAGACCAATCAGGAAACAGTCCAGTACATCAAGGAGAAGCTCAGTGAAAATCTGTCTGCAGAGAAAAGCATCAATCTGTTCCACTGTCTGAATGAACTAAATGATCGTTCTCTAGTGGAGGAGATCCAACAGTCCCTGAGATCAGGAAGTCTCTCCACAGATAAACTGTCTCCTGCTCAGTGGTCAACTCTGGTCTTCATCTTACTGTCATCAGAAAAAGATCTGGATGTGTTTGACCTGAAGAAATACTCTGCTTCAGAGGAGGCTCTTCTGAAGCTGCTGCCAGTGGTCAAAGCCTCCACCAAAGCTCTGTAAGTAAACGTGTGCTCGTCCTTTTATGTTTTAAATATTTATTTTGTTAAGAAAAACCCGGTGTGAACAATTTTTAAAAAGCAAAACAAAACACAGTAATGTGTGCAGGTGTCTGAGCAATCTGTAAAACTAATAAGTGATCAGCAGTACTCACTTTATTCAATATTGAATACATATGTAGCAGCAGAAATAACTGGCATTTCTTAAATATTTCTGGGTGAAACTGTTATCAAAGTACCATCCTCCTTATTTCTCCTCTGGTTCTCTTTACATGTTGCTCTGGAGGGGTTTGTGTGTCCAAGAAATCCCAGGGACTATGTTCTCCAGGGGCTTTTGCCTCATAGTAAGGTCTTCCATGGTGAATTTTTCCTGGGTGAGGGACCAGAGAAAAAGGGATTCATAAGACCTCTAATGAGTACAATATCAAGGGAACAGTTCACCCTGCCTTGGAGCCAGGGTGCACAATGATGATCATCTGGTGGCCGGGTGACATGTGTAGTCCATGGGCCTGGCCGGGCACAGCCCAAAAAAGGGACACGGGCCCATCCTGCTGCAGGCCCGACACCCGCACGAGGCGCCGTAGGCGTGGGGTGCATTGTGTGCTGGGCGGCAGCCAAGAGCGGAGGCCCTGACGGACTGATCTCTGGCTACCTAGACTAGCAATTTAGAAATAAAACGTACCCTCTCTGGTGGGGAAGGAGCCTGAGGTAGTGCATGAAGATGAGAATTACCAGATAGATATAGTCGGGCTCACCTCAATGCACAGCTTGGCGCTGGAACCAGTCTCCTGGAGAGGAGCTGGGCTCTATTTCAGTCTGGAGCTGCCCTTGGTGAGAGGTGGTGGGCTGGGGTGGGTATCCTAGTATACCGCTTAACTTGTTGCCTGTGGGCTGAGGTTTTCTCCCAGTGGATGACAGGGTTTGTCCTGTGCCTTAAGGTCAGGGAACTCTTGTCTGCATTTATGAGCCAAGTGATGCGACTGGGGACTCTTTAGTCCTACTGGAAGACTTAAATGCTCACGTGGGCAATTACAGTGAGACCTGAACAGGCATGATTGGGAGGAATGGCCTCCCGAATCTGAACCCAAGCGGTGTTTTGTCGTTGGACTTCTGTGCAAGCCACAGTTTGGCCACGATCAGTACCATGTTTGAACATAAGAGTTTTCATAAGAGCATGTAGTACCAGGATGCACTGGAAAGACCTGGCATACCTAAATGTATAATGAATGCCCCAGCCCATGAGATCTTCAACGCACACCCCCGGCAGAGCTTCAACAGCATCCTGAGGGAGTCTGGGTGTGGGAGGAGTTTGGAGAAGCCATGGAAAAAGGCTTTTGTACTGCCTCAAAGAGATTCTGGTAAACAGTCACCTGACTCAGGAGGGGGAAGCGGTGCTCTACCTGCATTATGTATAGTGCGGGTGGAGCGCTGCTGACTTCGACTGAGTAAATTGTCGGGCAGTGGAAGGAATACTTTGAGGACCTCCTTAATCCCACTGGCACGTCTTCCATGGAGGAAGCAGTCTGGGGACGAAAGGGATGACTCGCCGATCGCCGGGGGTGAAGTCACTGGGGCAGTTTAAGAACTCTCAGGTGGCAGGTGCCCTGGGGTGGATGACTTCACCCCCAAGTTCCTGAAGGCTCTGGATATTGTAGGCATGTCCTGGTTGACACACCACTACAATGTTGCGTGGAGATCATTGGCGGTACCTCTGCATTGGCAGACTGGGGTGTTGGTTCGCATTTTTCAGAAGGGGGACCAGAGTGTGTGTTTCAACTATAGGGGGATCACACTCCTCAGCCTCCTTGGAAAAGTCTGTGCCAGGGTGCTGGAAAGGAGAGTCCATCTGTTAGTTGAACTTTAGATATATAGGAGGGAAAATCCGGTTTTCATGCTGGTCGTGGAACACTGAACCAGCTCTTAATCCTTTCAAAGATACTTGAGGGTGCATGGGAGTTTGCTGAACCAGTCTATATGTGTTTTGTTGACTTAGAGGAGGCATTCGACCGTGTGCCTCGGAGTGTTCTGTTGGAAGTAATTCGGGAGTATGGGGTGTCTGGCCCATTGCTACAGGCCATTCTATTCTTATACAACCGTTGCAAGACCTTGGTCCACAAAGCCGGCAATAAGTCGGACTCGAGACTGGTGGGTGATGGACTCCGCCAGGGCTGTCGTTTGTCACCAATTCTAGTCATAATTTTTTATGGAAAAAATTCTGAAGTTTAACAAAGTGTCAATAGTCTTTCACTTGGGTGGTCTCAGAATCTTGTTTCTGCTTTTTGAATGATGTGCCTCTGCTGGCTTCATCGGTCGATTGCCTCCAACTCATACTGGAACGGTTTGCAGCTGAGTGTGACGTAGTGGGAATGAAAATCAGCACCTCCAAATCTAAGGCCATCATCCTCAACCGGAAAAGGGTGGAGTGACCACTCCGGGTCAGGGAGGGGTTCCTGCCCCAAGTGGAGGACTTTTAAGTATCTTGGGGTTCACCCTTTCTCTTGTTCTTAGAGACAGGGTAAGAAGTTCAGCCATTGCTATGGGGCTCAGAGTAAAACAAATGCTCCTCTGCATTGAATGAAGCCCGTTGAGGTGTTTCGGGCATCTGATAAGGATCTCTCCTGGATGCCTCCTGGGTGAGGTGTTCCAGACGTGTCCCACTGGAAGGAGGCCCAGGGGCAGACCCCCCACAACCCGGCCCCAGATAAGTTTAAGAATAAGGATGCATAGTAATAGTATCTCATGATACTTGAATATTTTTTTCATGTTTACCTTTTATTTTTTAGACTCAGTTACTGTGACCTGTCAAAGAGAAGCTTTGAAGCTCTGTCCTCAGGTCTCAGCTCTCAGTCCTCTAATTTGAGAGAGCTGGACCTGAGCAACATTGACCTGCAGGATGTAGGGGTGAAGCTTCTGTCTGAAGGACTGAAGAGTCAACACTGTATACTGGAAACTCTCAGGTGAGATCAGTCATTTTGTTATTTTTTTAATGAACTGACAGAATTAACAAGCTAATAATAAGGTAATGCTCAAATAAGAGGATATGTGGAGGTGTTCTGAAGTGCAACATACTCTTATGTTGAAAGGTTTTTTTGTTGTCTAAGTAGAAACTTGATGGTGAAAACAGTAATGTGTTTGCAGAGGTGAATCTATTCATTGTACACAGCACAACAGTTCTCACACCCGTCAACATGTACATGGACACACTGTCTGGTGCTGAAAGCCAACATCACACAGATTCTGAGACTGCAGGTTTCATCAATCTCTGACCAAAATTCACTGAACCAGCAGTAGAAGAAAGTCAAAAACTATCCTTCATGTTGGAAAAACAGAAGAATGGAGGGATCTGCACTTCCCTTTTTCATCCTTTTGTGGCATTCATTTACCTGCCCTTTATTGACTGGCCCTTCAAATTTACCTGTAAAATGGGCCCGCCGGTGGGCCCATGGTCAATAAAGGGTTAATATTCAAGTCAGAATGTTTCCTGTTTTTTTGTTTGTTGTTTGTTGAAATAGTTTTGTGAACACATCTGGCACTACATCCCATTAAACAAGATATTCTCCCTCACCTGTGGTACCGGAGGCATTGGGGTTTAACAGGTTAATTGCTAAGTGCCTAATTTTTTGTGTAGCATTAATGGCCATAAGGGAGTAAGAAAAGCTGTAAAACTTAAAACCTTAAAAGTCCAAAATAACTTCTTATGTTTGTTTGTGGTCATCTGCAGATGAAACAATATAACAATTATAAATGCCTTCAAGCACATTCAGACCTGCGTGACTCATTCATACACTGAGCCATGACTCTGTGGTACATGCACACATTTCTGCATCTCTACCATTGAAACACATCTTGTATATAGTTCATTTTATGTAATATTCAACACTGAACTGTAAGTTTGGCCTTTTTAAAGGCAGCTATTATTATTCAGTGTTTTCATAAAAACCTAATTTTGTGAGAACACACATGAGGTTTAGAACAAGTTCAAAACATTTTTTTTCACCACAATAGAAAATAATTGAAATTTAAAAACAAAAACCACCCCCCCCCCCCAAAAAAAAAACAAAAAAAAAACGGGTATCACTTTAGTCAGCTCCTAATTTCATAAAATCTGCACTCAGCTTTGCAATCAATTGTATCATTGAAATGTAGCCAGACACTGTTAATTTTATGTTTCCAAATTTTTCTGACATGCCTGCATTTAAACATGTCTGTTTCTGTACCTGGTCTATACTACACTTCCTGTCTTGTAATGTTGCCTGGTATGATGACAGTATGTCTTTACATGTGATTGGCCATATTGTCTGCCCATCAAAATAAAGTCCAACTCCTGCCTTTGTGGATTCTCGGCAGGGCTAAAGATTTGGCAACCACATACTAACAGGTAATTAATTATAAACAGTTTTCTCACACCGATCCTTCATGGTGATGCTGCCATCCACCTACTGCTCCTGGATTCACAACTTCATCATCATCTCTATCAGCCCTCACCTTCGCAATATCCCACTTTCGTGTTGAGGAGCCTGGATGGACAGTAATTCTTTCCATGGGAGCTACCCATTGAATAGAATAGAATAGAATAGAGTAGAATTCAACTTGTCATTGCACATGTCACATGTACAAGGCAACGGAATGTAGTTTTCATCTATCCACAGAGAGGTTTAGCAATAATACAGATATATTGCAAAACATGGATCTATTATAGGTATTTTACAATGTACACAGTATGAAAGTATGTTATGAATACGCTATAACTATAAGTGTGTAGCGGCTGCAGTGAGTGTGCAAGCTATGTACAGGCTATAAACATGATATAAATATGGTTGAAAATATGAAACTATACAGATTGTAGATATACAATTGTGAGTATTAATAAACAGTTATAAAAATTTGTAAACAGATGTAGAACTATAATTATTGTATTGTACGGAAGGATTGTCTATACAGCTCTTGAGAGGTGAAGTCAAACAGAAGTGAGAAATGAAAGACTGATTCATTTAAATTTTGTGTTGTGATGTGCAGTGCATAGTCACTGATGAAACCTGTGTGCTTATAGATAAACCATAATAGAAGGACATTAAAATGAAGTGTCAGCTACACAAGGGCAAAGGCATCCAGTTGTTAGTGTGAGTTATTTAAATGGAGGTAATGTAATGGTAAATGGACTGATTCTTATATAGCGCTTTTCTACTCTCCCGGAGTACTCAAAGCGCTTTTTACAACATGCCTCATTCACCCATTCACACCCGCTCATACAAGCACTTCTAAACTCAAGTGCAAACTAAACTACATTCACACACATTCATACTCCGATGAACGCATCAGAGGGCAACTTGGGGTTAGTATCTTGCCCAAGGATATTTGGCATGCAGACTGGGAGGATGGATTAAGAATTAAAGATGCTGGACTAATTCACTATATCTTGTTCTTCTCATAGAACCTGGATACACAGACTCACCTGTGACATAGTGACACTCAGTGTGGGCTACACACACATTAGAAAGTTGATCAGTCACACCTGTAGAATCATTTGTAGTGCTGGGCAACCATGAACACGTTGAATTACCATTAATGACATTGTTACAGCAACATTCAATCATGAATTCAAAAGTAGTGTATCCAATCCAATCCAATCCAATTTTATTTATAAAGTACTTTAAAATACCCAGCACAGGAACAAAGTGCTGTAGAGAAAATAAGTTAAAGCAATAGAATAACAGAAAACAGCAAAATAAATAAATAAAACACCTTAGACATAAAATTAAAACAGCCCTATATTAAAACAAAAACAAGATAAAACAGCATCGAATCACCTAAAAACAACTAAAATAAAAAATAAAAATAAAAATCAAAAACCAACATCTCACGTGGTGTCAAAGGCCAGGGTAAAGAGGTGGGTTTTCAAGAGTGACTTAAAAACAGATAAAGAACTGGCCTGACTGATCTCTAAAGGAAGCTCGTTCCACAGTTTTGGAGCTGCTACAGCAAACGCATGATCTCCTCTAAGTTTATGCCCAGTCCTGGGTATCTTCAGGAGCAGCTGATCAGCTGACCTGAGAGAGCGGCTATAAGGCTGTAGCAGCTCAGAGAGATAAGATGGAGCTAGGCCATGGAGAGCTTTAAAAGTAAATAAAAGAATTTTAAAATGAATCCTAAAAGAAATGGGCAGCCAGTGAAGTGAAGTTGTATTGTGTACTTATTTTAATAGTACTGCACTATGAGAAGTGCAACATTCAGTGTGCAGATGTGAAATAAATCAGGCAATTTGTAATAAGAGTATTCCCTTTAACACAGTAGCAATTCAAATATTTCTGTCAGTCTGAGCTGAAACATGAATCTAATCAAATCAAATATCAAAACAAAGTCATTTGCCTCTGCCAGGACGTTAACATTTGATCTAGTTTATTCCAAACAAAGTTCCCCTCAGAGTCCAGAGCCACCATCATAACATTATAACAGGCACCTTTGATCAACAGCAAGTGAACATTTATAAATGTGTGTTTTCAGAAGAGGAACAAGCAGAACTATTTTTCTGTTATGAAAAAATGCAAGATGGCGGCACGCACAGACGCTCGGAGCTTGGAGCTCTCCCGTTCTTTGTGCTTTTTCTTTTGTCTTTGTGCTTTTTCTTTTGTTTTTTTTACCACCACAGTCTGTCGGGCACAGTGGGTATACACTTGAGCTCCTTGAATCTGGCTCCAGTGCAGTAGCAGTTTTCAGATATATAATGTTGGCATTTTGTTTGCATGTCTCTAGGTCTGTTCTGAATGTAGACTTGAATTTGGCCAAGTAGGCAGCGTGAATCGCTACCTTATCGTGGTGGAGGGGTTTGTGTGTCCCAGGGATCCCAGGGGCTATGTTATCTGGGACCTTTTGCCCCCAGGTAGGGTCTCCCATGGCAAATTGGTCCTGGGTGAGGGACCAGACAAAGAGCGATTCAGAAGACCCTTATGAGAAAAACATTGAGGGAACAGTTTACCCTGCCCGGGATAGGGTTACCGGGGCCC